TTATTAATTTTTTATATAAAAATGCCGCCCGAAAATCAGACGCAGCATTTATTATTAAAAAATTAATTTTTATTAATTTTTTATATTAAAATGCCATCCCGAAAGTCAGACACAGCATTTATTATTAAAAAAATTAAATTTTATCAATTTTTTTATATAAAAATGCCGATCCGAATGTCAAAGATGGATTTTTGTTAAAAAAACAAAATTGTTGTTTTTTTTTAACATTAAAACGCTGTTCTGAACGTCGAAGGCAGATTTTTGTTAAAAAATTTTTTGATCCATCAGATACAGATACAGATTTAGATTTGTCAGATTCAGATCAAATCAGATTCAGATTTTTCAGATTCAGATCGAATCAGATTTTATCCAAATCTGATCTAATCTAATTTGTGCAGAATACTAGTGTTAGCATAAGTGGCATAGGTTTTGATATTGGCTTAGGTTTGGTGTTGGTATATGTATTGGTATTGATATAGGTATTGGTATTGGTGTTAGTATTGGTATTTGTTATTAATATTGGCATTGGCATTGACATTAGTATTAACGTTAGTATTGGTATTGGTATTTGTTTTGGTATTGGCATTAGTATTATTGTTAGTATTGGTGTTGGTGTGATAATTATATATTTATAACTTTAACTATAATAAAAAAAAATATTTAATATTTATAAATAAAATCTTTTTTGTTTTATTATTAATATTTTACTTACTTTCACATAGGTTTATTTTGTAAAGATATACAGTCTTTTGTCATATGATCACTTGTAGCTTAGTATTTAAAACAATAATTACGATATTCAATTGGAATATCTGAACAGTGATGCATCCAATGATCTAATCAATTACAAAAATAACACATATTATTATAAAGTGGGTTTGCTGTTATTAATGTTATTATTGTATTTGATAGTTTTGATAATTTACTATAATTAAATTAGAAAATAATTAAAAACAATTGATATTTAGATTATATGTATTATTCAGATTACATGTATTAAAATTATTATATAAAACATATAAATATTATATTATTTATGTTAATGATAATGATAATGATAACAATATTGGTGGTATAGGTGGTATTGTTTATACTGTTGTTGATGATGATGATATTGATAATAATGATGTTGATGGTAATGGTAATAATAGTGTAATAATATAAATGTTTTTTTTTTATACTAATATATTGATAAAAAATTATTATTATTAAAAAAATTACTTATTATTTTTTTATTTAAAAAAATATATACTAACTGAGATGGTAACATAACTGAAGAAGAACATCTTGATTAAAAAGAAATTGTTATTGATGATAATAATAATAATGATACTGATTGTGATAAAGAAAATGATGACGAAAGTGATGTTGATAATAATGATTTTGTATATGTTTATAAAGTTCAAAATCCATTTTGCTGATAATTCATGTAATTCTAAAAGTCTTTTTTGTTATTCATCGCTTCATTTATCATTTGTATTTTCATCAATTTTTTTTAGATAAATTAGATAACACTAAAAAATTTCTCATGAAAATTATTCAAACAATTGATTAAAAAATAATACAATCAAATAATAGTAATGTTTATATATTTAAAATAGAACAAATTGATAAACTCTTTCTATAAAAAGAAATAAAGCTTTAAATTTTTTTGATACAATAAGTTTGAAAATTTTTACACAATTACAATATACAAGTTTATAATAAGAATTCTTATACAATTAATTTTACTTTTATAAATTTTAATTAGTAAATCAAAAATAATCAATTAAAATTATTCATAATTTTATTTTTTAAAATATACAATTGCTTTTAAAAGAAAATTTAAAGTCTAATTATTAATACGCAATCACAATTTTCACAGTTTTACAATTCAATTTTAAATTATAGAAATTAAATAAATTAAATCAATATATTAATCACTAATTTTTAATATGAGGTTTAACCTGTAGCTGAAAATTTGGCTGAGTTAAATCCAGTTTAAACCAGTTTACTTAAAATTTTTGGTTAGCTAAAAAATACTGATTTTATCAATAATGCAATGCAATTATATTTACTTTATTAAGTTTGATAAAAAATTCAAAGAAAATTTATTGTCTTACAAAATTTAAGCATTAAAAATTTAAATAAATGTATAGTATTGTTATTTTTATTATTTTTTATTTACATAATATTTATACATTATTTTAAATTTCTTAATAATTTTGTATACATTAATTTTTTAAGAAATTATAAAAAAATAAATCATGGAATTTTGATATAAAATTATTAATTACGTATATAAAACTTATAAAAAATATATCCTTTCCTTATTTTGATTTCTTATAGGGATATTAAAAGAAGCTTGAAAGGTTTCTATCTTTTCTCATATTGGAAAGAATGGAAAGAATTTGGTCAAGCTTGTTATTGATATTTTTATTAGGGTTATGAATGGAATCATTTACAGTTGGTTTAATAGTATTATTTGGTGATGAAGTCGGAGAAATATTCTTATTCTTGATAGCCTTAGAATAAGATTTTAAGAAACAATTTGATTGATTAGAATCAACAAATTTTCTGAAACTGGCAGGTTTGAATTTGTTGTATCGAATTATTTTGAGTGGATGTCTTTGGTTTAAAAGATTCTTCATATTTATTTAGTGAAATTAATTTTTGTAAGAAAGAGCATTTCATGATAAGATTGCCACATTTGTGACAGCTTCTAGCATCAGGGAAATACTACATTAGTTGATTATTGTCAAAAGCAAAGTTTTGTTATGTTGCTTGATTAAGAGCTTTCTCATTTTCAAAATATAATATAACAAAAAGACAAGGTTTATAGTTATTAAATCTTGGAATATAACTAGCTCTAATTTTAGTTGCAAAAATTATATCATAAAGGTCTCTTGCGAAGATACCAAAGGAAGATTTGTTAATTTGATGTGATGTATATTTCTATATTTAATTTCTTCTGAAGACAAAGTGTAAGAATTGACTGACATGAACAGAATCATTTTGGACGAATTGACTCTACACTTAATAAAATAGTTTAATACATTTAGGGTTTTCATAAGTAATATAGGCATGTTGCCACATACCTCTTATTGTTATTTTAAAATCAATAACTTGTTCATATTTGGCAAAAACTTGTTTGATATTGGCAGGCTTCATTTATAATGTAATGTTAGTAATATAAATAGTTCTTTCGTTAAATTGCATATCAGCTTTGTATTGAGAGAAATCATAGAATATATTGATCTTAAGATCAGGAATAGTCATGTGTAAGGCTGCAATAATTGCATTTGATGTTGCAAAGTAGACAATTATGGAATGCGTCAAATTGACGTGATGAACTAAACTTCTCTAAAATTGTTATTTTGAGCAAAAACATTATTAATAGCAAGAATAATTTTCCTGTTGTTCTTTTCTTTAGGTGTAAATTTGATATTACTGGCAACTGCAAAGGGATCTTTTAAGTCCTTTTCCATATCATCGTTTTCAAGATATTTGTTAGGGTCCAAAAGTTTTGACCTAAATAAAGAAAGGTTTTCAGAAATATTGTCAACTTTCATGTTATTATTATTATTATTATTCGAAGGTGGAATAACTGGTAAAATTTTGTTAATAGTGGCAATTTTAGATACGTCAAAAACTTCAAAATCCATTTTTTTATTTGGTAGTAAACCAAAAACTTCTTGAATAATTTCTAAATCAAGGTTTGTGAGAACAGAAGTTGAGGTTGAAGAAGACGAAAGAGCTGAAGTAAACTAGTAGCTTCTTTAAAAGCTTGTATAGAATAAACTTGGGGTTATTATTTTTGGTTTTGCAGCACTTTTATGCGTCATAACTCTCTCGTGTAAGTAAGAAGGTGAGGTAAAACAAAAGAAACCTTCTTTATACTGGGTTTATTAATTAATATTTTGTTAAAAATGAACTTTTAAATTTTTTATTTTTTTTAAGAAAATTTTGGTTTTGTAAAATAGGGGAGAGAGTTATTCCAATTTTTTTTTTTTTTATTAATGTGGCTCTGCTAACTATTTTATTAAGATTTATAGATTTTTCCAAAGAAAATAAAAGAAATTACAAGTAATGAAAAACAAAACAAAATA